GTGTGTGTGTGTGTGTGTGTGTGTGTGTGTGTGTGTGTGTGTGTGTGTGTGTGTGTGTGTGTGTGTGTTAAGCGAGAGTCAAACCTACTGTGCAACCTCCATCTCTGCATGCAACTCCATCACATCTCCTGATTACCTTGAGAGCCGTCGCAGGTGTGCCCTGTACGCTCCCTCTGAGAGGATGAAAGTGCATCAGCATGAAAATATGGAGCTTCTTATCACACTGGGAAGCTGCTGGAGGGAAGTCTGGTCTTTAGGGCAATGTGGTGAGACGCTCCTGAGAGGAGAGAGGGAGGAGAAGGTTTCATGGTCTGCTGGATGCCACTTTAAAGCACCATGCTTGCGGTTTTGCACCGTTTTAGCTCATTATCTGCACATCTCATGTGACCTAGCAGGATTTTTTTACATTTATTTCCAACCTGCACACTGTAGGCAGAGATTGAGACTTCTGAATTGAAAGTGAGGCAAAATTAAGTCACAAAAATTGTGTTTTCGCAACTTCACTTTAACCTGTCTGCTGCAAGAGTTGCTTCTTGACTAAACCACACGGACTTGAGCAAACGCTTAAAAGCAAATACTCTTTCAGTGGAAACTTCAAAAGGGGTGGGGAAACTTCAAATACTTTTTTGATGCCGAGCCGTCCTAGTTCATTTCATTTCAGTGAACTATGAAAATCAACTGGCTGTGACTTCAAACTCTCCTGAGAAACACTCCCACAGTAAACATTTAGTTGGCTTCGTCTTTATTATTGCAGCGTAGAGCAAATATGCAAAGGCACTGTTATTTGTGCATTTAAAGAAACTTCTAAATACCTCTAATCTGCAAATAACACTTTGCACTGTGTATGGTTTATACAATATAGAGTAAATAAAGGGACATTAGTTCAAAGACACATTGATATGTTTGAATTCCTCACTGGGTCATTTTCCCAAACAGGGATTGTGGGTTATTATCTCAATAGATAACAGCCTTTCAAAGTGTTCAAATATGCACATTCAAAGTCAAAATAATACTAAGAATGTATCTGCAGCTGTAGATGCAGGTGATGTACTTTATCCTAAAGTTTAACGGCTAAAAAATAAGACGCAGGTACATCAATTAGCAAAACAGCTTATAAATACTCAAACGTTAGAAGTAGAAGTACAGACAGAAGATGAAGCCAGGATGTTCCAATCCTGAGTGTTATAAATGATACCCATCAAGACTGGAAAATATGACATATTGCAAAGAGTTCAATAATGTAACTCCGCCATGATGAGCTCAAAGGTCTGTCTACGAGATGTTTCAACAAATATTAGGACTATGACATATTTACATTTTGGGCAGTGTGAAGATATGTGGGTCAGATCCAGTTTCCACCCTGCTGTCCAGAGTGAGAGAAAGGGAGCTCAATAATCAAACCTGACGTTGATTTCAGAAGAGGATACGAATTCTCTCACTTTACCTGCAGCTGCCGGCGGACTGAGAGGATATTTATAAACTCAGACTTTCTCTTTAATATGTATTCAGAGTGTATCTGAGCACAGGAGGTGAGAACATCTCATTCTGTGCTGTGCTGTTAATGAACCATAATGGAGATAAAGTGCCGATGATCGTCCTTAAAGAGCCCTTAGTGAGAGAGATGCCAATTAGAGGAAGCCTGGTGATTAAATGGGAACAATAAAGCTTTAGCTGCACACACACACACACACACACACACACACACACACACACACACACACACACACACACACACACACACACACACACACACACACAGAGTGTTGCTGCCAGTGATCAGCAGTCGGGGGTTGCTTTGTTTCTCTGGAGTTTGTCAGCTGAGCCCAGTGATGCCACCAGACATCAGCACCCACTGCAACTGGTAATGAGTCTCTGAGGAGCGGCCAGCTGTGCAGCGGCCAGGAAACAACCCCATTTAAAACTATCATCTCCTCCCAGCCGCCTGCCCACTTTCCTCCCAGACATCCCGGCAACTGCAACCTGCATCAGGCTGCACCACCACCTGCCAGTCAAAGCTGCTGCTGCTGCCCCCCTCCCTCCCTCCCTCCCTCCCTCCCTCTGCACCAAAGTGTGAACCTGAACAGCCGGCCAAACGCTCGGCCTCCAGTCACCTGAAAACATAATCTGCATTTAAATTAAAAACTCACTTTGGTGACTCATTCTTACTCCAGAGGGTGAGGGTGTTTCATTAAGGGGATTAGCGTGCAGGAGAGTCAATAAAGACTCGTAAACATGGTGCTGTCATGGCTTCATTTACATGTTGTCGTCCATGGCTTGTACCCTCAATATTGATAAATGGAATTAAACAGGCTGGCAGCAGTGAGATGTATACATTTAGAATAGAGAGCCACATCAATTCCTTTTGTGTGTATTTTCAATGGACGTTACTGCATGGCGAAGAATCAAGAAATTCCCCTGATTCTCTTAAGCCATTTCTACCTGTTATGACATTTTCTATTTCCTTTTTTTCCTTCAGTTCAAGCGTGTTGCTAAGACTCTTTCCTGCATTGTGACCAAGGGCCTCTAAGATATATTTCCTTTTTATATATTTAAAAAAAACCTGAAGTCCTATGTAGGGATGTCATTAAATGTCCATTCCAGATTTCAAGATATTAGTTCAACTGGAGTAAATGTTGTGGCATTGAATATCATGCTAAATATAGTAATTGGGCACAAACTGAGCTGGGATGCTTGTTTTTACACCCAAGGAAAATATTTCTGCTGGACCAACATATTTAGAAGTTGAAAAAACATGGACAGAGAACACAGTAGGCTTTCTGGTGGTTTGATTAGCATCCAGTGAATATCTCCCATAAAACTAAAATAAAAATCAGGGCAAAGAAAGACTGTGAGAAGTTTTATTACCTATATAAAAACTTCTGTGTGTACTCTCGGTGACTGTAAAGCCGCTCCAACACGTTCATGGTCTCCCTCTAACTCTGCGTCCTGAGTGACCACAGAGGCTGGGTGGCCTTCAGTGACGAGCCAGCGTGTTTACAGACGCCAGAGTGAAGGTTAGTCGACGCCAGATAGCAGGGGTCAGCGGTGGAGACGGAGATGGATGTGTGTTTGGTCTGGAAGAGAGACAGGCCTGAGGTTCTGATACAGAGAGGCCTCAGTGCAGAACGTCCATTAACCCACACTTAAAGACTCACTGAGAGCAGAGCTGTAACATATCTCTTCTACCTTTACTCCACTACTGTACTCTGGAATAATGCAGCAGTACTTGACTACTTCCTGCTACCTCTACTTTAGGCAGCACAGTGAAATCTGTTATTCTTCTATGTATTGGTAACTTTTTGAGTTTGGGTTATTTTGCTTCCAAAACATTTAGTCACATTTCTTTCAGATGAGTGGAAAAGGAAACATCCAAAATACACATTTAGGTGTTTATTTGACTAACTTTGTCTGTTTGCATCCGAGATTTCTCCTAAACTCACCTAATCTTAGCACTGGAACATGTGACTTAAGCATATTTATTTATAACATTTACAGTAAGAGAACTTGCAATACAAAATATGTAGGTAACCTGGGATGTTTCTCAAAGTTATATATACGTTTAAAAATGTTTCAGTTTTTACAGAAGGCTTTGTTCATCACTCAGATCCTGATTTATAAAACCGTTTCAAAGGGAATAATGTTCATTGTTCCTAAAAGTCTAATATATAAAGATTATAAAGAAAGATTATAAGTATAATCTAATACTTAAAAATTACATAATAACTTGAAACCTGGCTTCATCAGAGTTTCAGGAAATGCGTGAAACCATTTGAGACATTTTAGAGGATATCATTAAGTGTAATTAAATAATTTTAAGCAACACATCTTGTATGGCTACTATAATGTCATTTTATATTTTCCGTTCATTTTTATTTTTATTATTGATGTATTACAAAATTCACAAAAACCTGCACTTCAAAAAAAGTTACTTTCATATTTACATCGAGGCAGTTTTGGTGCAACTATTTAACTTTTATCATGGTAACATGTTATCATTGTGGTGTTTTTAAGTAAAGGAGTACTTTTTCCAAACTACAGCTTATTCCATCTATCCCTAGTCATTGTGACATTTTTAAACAAACAAAACGATGTGCATTTTGCCAATTTAAATGACTAGGCTAACTACTCTATCATTAGTTTGCATTGAGCTCAGTTTCATGAAGCCTTTGAAACTCTTTGCATGGTTTGCTTTCTCTGCTGGGACGCCAGAAAGGTGGGGTTTCCCTACAAGGGAACATAACGAGAGCAGAAAGATTACACACAGGGACATGTCTGAAAGTCAATTAGTGTTTCTTCTTCTATGGTTACATGACACAGTAAAAACACTCTCACCTGACCTGAAGCTGCAAATGTGTGAGGACAAAGTGTTTCCTTTTATTTACCCCATTTGCTAGGCGGCTGAGTGGTCTGTGTTCATTCATCATGAAATCAGTTAAATCAGAAAAATCATTCATCTGCACTATCAGGCTCACACTGCCATCTGGTGGCCACACTGCAAACAACTGTAAACAAATGGATGGAAATGAGCTTTTGGAGGCTGAAAGCTGATATTTTGACACTGAAGTTGCTTTCATTTTATTTTTTTATTTTATTTTCTCAATGGTTCCTTTACAACAGATCTTTTAACGCATTTTGGAGCATATTTTTATGTTGCCTCAGTTTATATTTATGGAGTTATGTGACCAAATCTGATGAGTTTCGCTCCGTGATAAGTCATGAGCTCAGAGTCAGGATAAGGTATATAATCATTTTTTGTTAGCTTTGATGAAAAAATTATTAAATTACTTATTTGTAAAACCTTGTTTAGTCTTATATGGTGGCTACGCTCAAGTGGAATCCAAAATAATGAACTTTTTAAAGTTGAAATAAGTATTCCAAAAATAATTTCTAGAATAAACACAGCTTTTCAATGAGGAAATAATTGAAATAACATGACTTTATAAAAAGTTAGATTCCCATTTCACATGTTTAATGTATATATAAAGACAAATACCAGCCCAAAGTATCAGTATGTGTTTATTTCAAAAGGGTTATATTCATTAACAGATAGAATAGACCAGTACTACTGAAGGCAGAAGCACAGACAGCAGCTGTATAGAGATGTATTGCAGTTTGTTTCAAGCGATGTGAATAACAGCGTGATCACAGCAGCTGGCGAACCATCCAGATGTTCCTTTAGACAGCACTGTGAGTTTTATACTGAAGCAGACAACAGTGTGGTTTCACTATAAACACTTTTCACTTTTATAAACTTCTGCATCTGTGTGAAGATTTACATTGATGATCGACACTATGTTCTTTTCTGTGTTATTCAACGGCTTTTGTTTCCTGTTTTGTATGATTTCCAAACTGTTTTACTCTCCCCAGCTCTTTGTAGTCAGACAGGACATTCAGATGTCGTGACAGATGGAAAATTCCAAAATCTTTAACATGGTGTTGAAATACCAACACAAATAAACCGAAGAAGCCTGAAGCAAAAACTAGAGGTTGATGAAGCAACTCGAACATGTAAATAGAGTATGGTCATAACACCAAGTGATACATTGAAAATGTACATTCGTTACACCTTATTAATAAATATCATTATTGCATTTTTTAAAGCCCTTAAGATGTAATTAAGGGGGGGGAGGGGGAGGGGGGGGGGCTTTCCAACCAGCACGACTTGGAAGGCATTACATTATCTGTGAGCACCAATGTGGTTGAGTTAGGCTTGTGTGTTTTTCAGTTTGAATTGATCAATGTAGGAAAGCTGCTTTACAAATAAAGTTGCATTGCCTTCTTTTTTTAAGCTGTTTGAAGATAACAACTTTAAAATAGTTTGTTTAAAAGTTTTGTTTCCAAGAAAGTTAAGTACAGTTGATTGTTGGGGCAAAATTGGGTGGGAAATCATGTTTCATAATAAATAACTCATTGTTTTGTTATGAAATGTTCACTTCTAAAATGACGTTTTGCCCCTAAGAAAAAAAAAAAATGATGCTCTGGAAGAAACGATTAATCAACCAAACATTTCTCGACACCGCAATCTTTTTTCAAACAAGATGTTAACAGTTAATGTGGTTAAAAGAATAAAATAACCAACATGACAACTGGTTTTAAGAAACCATAACAGAACATAATCAACCACGGGGACTTGGATGTGGTCAATAAAATGATCCTCAGGCATTGATGTTAAAAAAAACAAAAAAATATGTGACTTCCAGAAGAAATAAGTTACAGTCCAAAGCATGAAGCACCTGTGAGGAGAGGACTTTTGAGTCAAAACAAGTCACCCCTTCCTCTCAATCTTCTTCTTGGCTTTTAGGATTCCTATAGTTATTTTCTTAAGTATCTGAGTGAAGCACACCCAGTCAGTTTACATATTTGAGAAAACTTTACAGCCACTATGAACACTGACGCTGTGAGAAAAGTCTGTGTTGTTTCTCAGCTGAGATCCAACATCAGGAAAACACCCCAAAATGTGAAATATACAAATACATGTATACAGACTCAGGTTTCACACCGATAGAAGAGTTTAATGTTTTTTCTACTTGAGCATGCAGTCTGCGATGGGACTAAGTGCTGCACAGTGAGACATCTAGCAAGCTCCTTAACTTATTTACAGTAAAATTCTACTTTAAAAGAAGGTCCACATTTTGTTTATACAGCAGTGAGGACCTCAATCTGCTGCTTCAAGTGTCCACTTAAGGGAGCTGAGTCCCAGGACTAAACTCCCCTTCTCCACCCTTATTTAAAAATAACTTAAATATATTTTGAGGATCACTTAGTTAGTATTTTCTACACTGAATCTCCCGTTACGTTTCGCTCGTGTAAACATCTCATCCCGAGCCCATATTTATCAAACTTCTAGGAATTACATTTGAACATTTTCTTAAAATCCGTTTTAGGAGTCAAAAGGGCCATTATTATTATTATTTGAATCTTTAGAAAAGGTTCATTTAACTTGTGCAAAATGTTTAACATCTCCATTAGATATTGACATATTTTCATGATATATGAATATGAGGGTAAACCCGATGGAAAATGGATGAAATTGAAACAAAAGACAAAACAAACTGGAGTAAAGGAGGGTAAACGTGTCAAACGTATATATGGGCATGAAAAGCCGACGAAAAAGCTTCATTCATAATATTCATGTTTTTTTAGGAAGGACTGACAGCGAACACCAGAAATGTTTTTTAGACCCCTGCGACTTTAAATGTGATTAATTGTTTTAGGCCTCGGGGAAATAATGAGTATGAACCGCAGTGTTCCTAACATCTGAATAAATCCAACATTTTCCAAACCAAATAAAAATGACACCCATAGGTTTCATTTTGCAGAATTCTACCCTTAAACAACCCCTATTTAATCTTATATACAATTATACCTCTACTTACTATTTACAGAACATACCTGTGCAAACCTTATACATTCCTGGGATCCACTTTCAGATACCATTAGCTTTATACAGTGAAAAATAAGTGCATTACTTCTCAACCTCTGTTAAGAAGACACAAGGAATACTCAAGGCTGTAACGCTTATGCAATTAGTTACCATTGGTTAACACGCTCTCTGCCTCTTCTGCTGCTACCCAATCAGGAATGAGACTCACTCTTCCTGTATTCACATGTTAAACTGTACTCATTAAATGTTGTGTATCTGTTTTTTCAGGCTTTGTTTGGATCTGTTCCAGAGCATCACATAAGCAGGGACACACCGCCAAAATAAAATTATTTTTCTTTTTGCCATTAATGCAAAGAAAATGATTAAATATTCAACAGAAACCTGCAGGAAGTCAGCCTGGCCAATGATGGCGTTTCACAGGACGTTCAGTGTCCATAAGGACTTAAAAACAAGATCTCTAATGGCCTCGATGCGTCTGTGTACTTTACTTTAATCTGTTAACATTCAGACTTTAACATTTTAGCTGGGTTGAGCTCCAGCTGTGGAGTACGGAGGCTTTGTGGGGAGAGGCAGTGATGTCAAGATTGAAGGTTTGGGATAACAAAACACAGAGAATGTCTGCATGGAGAGCTTTAGAGATGACACAACCTAAAATGGCTGAGTGGAAATGAGACAAAGCATGAGTGATGGGAAAACAAAATCAAACAAAAAAGAGAATCCAGGATCATCCATAATTTATTCAACATGTATGATTCATTTTTAAAAGTTGCTGTACATTAACACTTGATCTGTGTTTAAAAATAAATGAAGCTTTTCATACATTTGAGAGTCAAGATAGTCATTTGAGGGTCAAGATAGTCAAACTAAATTCTGATATCAGGTCATGTTGTTAAAGAATATCTCCACATTTGGATGAAGAAAAAAAAAAAAACATTGCAAAATTTGATTAAATAAATAAATAAATAACAATTATCTCAAAACTAAACCTCCAGCAGGCTTTATCTTTTATACTGCATGATGTCACCGCACCTTTCAAACTGAGTTGAGATGTTACCTGATTTCTTTCTCTGATGTTAGCCTATTCAAACTTAAAAGATCAACACTGGATTCCTACATTTCTTTTTTAGAATTAATTTGATTATTGTTTGGGATTAATATCATGTAAACTAAAAGCGGCTAGCCAACACGGGGGATTTTAAACATGTCAAATTAATTATTTACAGTGTGTTCAGACCGGTTCAGACAGAAGGCATTTTATTTTCGGCGCATAGAAATGTTAAAAAAATGCGTCTTTCCATTTCCACACATGCAAACAAATCTTGAATATATATGTATTTTCTACATTTGAAACTGGTAGAAAAGTGAGGAATATATGCTTAGCCTTCTGCCTGAACACACCTGAACTCGTGATAAAAGATGGCGGATGCGCTATTAATTAAAATGTTTAAAGTTTTCTACACCTGATTATGAACCTGATAGTTGCTCCAGTTAGACTCCTCCTCCTCCTCATCATGTTTCCCTGACTTTAAAACTCTCCTGATCCTGGTTTCAGTCTCCAGCTGCCTTTTCCCCCTACTTCCACCCAAAGATAAATCTCATATATTTTTAAAGATCCTACAAAAAGGTAGCTTCCTGGAAAAAGTGGATTCTTAAAAATATATAGTTCCATACAATAATCACCAACTAGTGCATCACCTCCCAAAAAAGCAGACTATCAAAAACCACACATCACTTTTTGGTTAGCCTTTTTTCTAACTGACTCTAAATTACATATTTTACAATCAAACACACCTCTGCCTCAAAAAGGAAAATACAAAGTTATGTACATGATGCATCATGACTTATTGCTTTAAGTATTTGTTCTTCTAGCATACAACTCCTCAAACTCTACAGGAATCTTTAAGGACGGTTTTTATATCGTAGATGGCGACAAAGCAGCTCACACAGCCTGAGTCCAAACAGTTCACACACACCTGCGGTATCAAAAACAAATAGTGCATTTACACATTGGAAATACTTAGCAGAGGACAGTCAGAGACAGCGAGCTCAAATCTGCTGTTTCTTCTTCCAATGAGTCTAAAATGTCAAATGAAAGTCACCAAAAGAGAAAAAAACTAGACTCCTGCATACTGGACTTTGTTTCCAATGAAAAACAAGATGGCTGTCAAAATGCCTCTGCTGCCAACGGCAACCCTCCTCTCTTCCTCCTTTAGAAAGACTTTTCTGAAACGTAGTGCAACACTGCTGCCAGCGGTGAGCTTTGAACGCTGCTCCGCTCCACACACAATCACAAACCACCACGCACGCCTGCAGAGGTTTTGTAAATATAGGCAAACTTTTTTAAATGTTGACTGTCATGTAGCATTCTGCTTTCATATAAAGGTTCCTTTATGTTGTTTTTTATACAAAATGTATTGTTTTTTCCAGAATTTCATGAATGCATTTTTAGGTTATTTTATTTTAGATTATCATATCCCGCTAGCATGTCCGAAATATAATGTCAAAAGGACCAGTGTGTGAAGTTATTTTATAGCTCTTTAGTAGCACAATATTTGCGAGAATATACAATTGTTTGATCATATATGCAACCATCTTACGTGTAAGAATTAGCACATTTTCATTTTCTGCTTCTATATTGAATATCCTATAATTTTGTAAAATGTTTGGGCTTTGTAACACAAACAAATTACCTTGAAGATGGAAAGAATTTAGAACTGAAATGGTTGGTTAATTCGTTCATCGACAGAAAATAACAGATAGCTTGTTTTTAATTATTTCGCTCACCAAACATGCCAAACACAGTTTAGATTAATGATTGTAAATACAAATGATTGAGGTTTTCGACTGTTGTTTGGACAAAAACCTGAGTGCTGACAGATCACTTTTTACAGATTAAATGATTAACAGATTAATACATTTAGTTTTCCTGGAGCGCTCTGCATCAACACACATACCATTTCAATCCTCTCCAGACCTTGATGCCCTGGTATATATCACTATCACACATATACCCCCAGTCCTTTGGCCCCTCGGTGCCTAGAAACAGTGGCAGTGCTGCTGACGTACACACACACCTCCGACCCGACCACAAACACCCCTCTCTGCTGCCAAGTGTAATAGAGACGTTGTCACAGCGTTCCTGCGACGTGTTTACACCGACGGCTGATTTATGCGGAGCAGAGCATGCCATGTCCCGCAGGATCGTCTCTTAACATAAACACAACCCTCCAGAGGAGCTGGCTGTGGCCCATGTATGGGGCGAGTGTTTACCCATCAGCACCCATCAGAGTGACTGCAGCGCTGGGTCTGACCCGGGACAGAGCACCACGAGCTCTAAATCACGCACACGTATGACAGCGGATTCCGGGAACAGATTTAAATGAAGCGCCGTCCTCTCAGCGCTATCTCAAGCACCACTTTGTCTTCTGACGTTTACATCTGAGCTCCTCTCTGGTTACCGTGGAGGAAAAAGTGTTTGTTCCACCACAGAGTACCCAACACTAAATCTTCCCTTTACTGTGGGATCACACGAGACAAACAACTCAGTGTGCTGAAAGTATTCAATTAAACAATGAGCGGATTGAGAGATACCTCCATTTTGAAAATATAGTACTTGTGTAAGACATCAATTAGGCAAACATTGAATGAATGAACAATGGCTGTGTCCAAGTTCTAAAAGATAAGAATCTGCGAATTTTTCCTGTTTTATTTTTACCAATTGAATCCAAACCCCGATTATGGGTGTTGGACAGACTAAAAATCATCATTTGAAACCGTCATCGTGTCCATTGTTTGACATTTTATAGATTAACGTTTAAACAAAACGCATCAAATAAAATCAAAATAAATATTAATTGCAGCACTTGTTTAAATGTGTTGTCAAAAATGCAGTGGCCAGGCTGCCTGCAGTGTGGACAGTGTGAACACAGTGTGAACACAGTGTGAACACAGTGTGACACAGTGTGGACACAGTGTGAACACAGTGTGGACACAGTTGAAAAGGGACGTACAGCTCAGTAGTTGACTTGATTATTAACTGAAATGATTGCTTACAATCCACACATTCATGGCTGCAGTGCTAAATAACTCAGTGTGTGCCTCTAACCACCTTCAACTACAAGAAAGCTTCTTTCAGCCCAAATTACATCAAGTAAATCCTCTGTGAAGACTATCTAGCGTACAGTACTCAAAAAATATACAGTGATCCATAATATCTCTGTCAAGCAAAGGTCACTTAGTATTCAAGCTATGGAGGTCAGGATTACGAGTTATCACACTACTCACGTGCGTAAAATGAACTAGTTGCAGATAAACTACTTCCACCTTCCGAGCAGACAACCTCCAAACAACTGCAAAATACTTTCCGAGACAGAAGCCAGAAAAAAACTTAAACACTTTTCTACTCTACACAACTGACTGATATTTCAATTGTTTGGCTTTTTTTGTGTCAAGATACGCATTGTCCTTACTGCTGAGGAAACAGCTTTGTTTGTTTGTTGGTTTTAGGAATCAAAAAGCTATGATTAAATGTGCCATAGTGCAATTTTGGCATTTATCAGAGATCTATTGGGAATACACAAGAATGACTATGAAGAGCTTTGCTAAAATGAGACAAAATATTAAGTACAAAATGAAAATAAAATCCAGTACAGTAGTTTTTAATATTGATGCTTTAGTCATTAACATCCAACACATGAATCCTCCATTTACTTATGATTGACTGGGAATGATTAACGTAAAGCTAGGATTTTTTATTATTATTATTAGATTGAATAATTAGCATTATTTTAATCTCACGCATGATTTTATGTTTTTGGTGGATTTTCTTTGTGTGATTATATATTTGTTAGCAGCCACCATACTAAACTAAAGCAAGCAAAAAGCTACCCCGTGCAAGTACCGTTCAGAAAGAAATAACAAAAGGTTACAATATGAGAGCATGATGAATGAACAAAATCAAAAGAGGAAAATAAATAAATGATGGAAATGAAGATGACTGAGAAGGGTCCAGAAATGATCTGTGAGATGACAGAAAGGAAAAGGCAAGAAGGTTCACCTCAAACTTTAAACAATATTTCTCCCTAATATATATTTTTCCAAACATAATCTTTAAACAACTTCCTCTTTTGCCATCTCTCATGCTGGAATATTAACCATTGTGTTCCCTCTATCAATAACTCATTGATATATAAGTTACATATAATCAACATATATTACATGATTAGTACAGAAACGTTTAACATTATCAAGTTAGATTTTGTGCCTTTTTAAAGGCAATTTGCCTTCTTTTATGATTTTTATGTTATTTTCCGGACATTTTGAGAAGGCAACGGTTACCTCTCTTAATGGTCGTCCACATCGATCTGCTGTGAAGACTTTTCTATGACCGGGAGCCAGTCAGTGGTGTCTTTTTTGTATTTATATATCGCTATGTGTCTTTATGGAAAAAGTTAGTTAGTGAAAGTGGCTGCCTCCTTCTCAGCCTTCTCTTTGGCCTTCTCCTTCTCTATCAGCTTCTCCTCCTTCTGCAGCATCACCATGATGTCCGCCACCTGAGAGGTGGAGATGTCGATGTCCTCCTTGTCGATCAGCTCCACCACCTGGGATAATGCAGGACAAAAGAGCAAATGTTTCAAAGCAAATTCAAAACCTATCTTTTTAATATGGCTCATCGTAATATCATTGTCCATGTTTTACTGTATTTGTTCTGTTTTGCTTTTATTTTAAATTTTATTTTTTAAAATAATTTTCTTTTAACCTATTTTAATTTCTTGTCAGCTTCTTACATTACATTACATTTAGCTGAAGCTTTTATCCAAAGCGACTTACAATAAGTGCGTTCGACCAAGAAGATACAAACTTGAAGAAAACAGAATCATATAAGTACATCAGGTTTCATAGAGCCAAACATTTGACCTATCATGCAAAATTCACTTTTGTACGTCTTTTATACATGAACATGTGTCCCCGGTGTTCCAGGGAACTCACCAAGTGTCAGAAAACACAACCCTCTCTATTTTCCTCAATACCCAAATCTCTTAAAAAGGGGCTGCAACGGATCTGATACAGACTGATCCAGATTTGAACACTTCTGCGACGTCACAGAAGTGGCGCTACGGCTATTGGGCCAACTCCACCAATCAGGAGGAGACAGCCACGGACATTGCCGTTGGAAAGCGCTGGAGACGCTGTAGTACATATGCCAGGCCTGTAGATGGTGCTGTTCTCACAGAATCAGCCCATGCAAAGACAGTGTTAAATTGAGCGAAATGAGGAAGGGCTAAAATGCATGATCTGTTTGGTATTTTGAAAAATAAAAAGTATAAATATGCCTTATATAGGTATGGTCCTACACTATATTATTCAAATATAGCATGATAGGTCCACTTTAAAGGAAAAGAGCCCTTCTCCTTCCTAAAAGTCCCATTAAACATGCACATCTTCCTTCAAGCAATCCTCTGCATTTTTGCTAAACCCTTTCAGTCAATGGGCTCTTCC